GATTTTTCCAGCATGAAATTGTTGTGACAGGATTTTTCCTTCTATGAGTTTCGATTTATTTTTGTATTCATTACCTCATTTGACCCTCTTCGACGGGCGGTCTCATGTTGTGATTTTCACAGATTGTTATTATGATCGAATTGGATTTGTCCAGCATGAAATTGTTGCGACAGGATTTTTCCTTTTATGAGTTTCGATTCATTTTTGTATTCATAACCCCATTTGACCCCTTCGACGGGCGGTCTCATGTTGAGATTTTCACCGATTGTTATTATGATTGAATTCGATTTTTTCAATATGAAATTATTTTGACAGGATATTTCCTTCCATGAGTTTCAAATTATTTTTGTATTTGTATCCCTGGGCGGTTTTATCTTTTGCTTCTCACAGTATAATATCATTTTCAAAATCGATTTTTCTAACATAAAATTATGGTGAGAGGATTTTTCCTTTTATGACTTTCGATTCATTTTTGTATTCATAACCCCATTTGACCCCTTCGACGGGCGGTCTCATGTTGAGATTTTCACCAATTGTTATTATGATTGAATTCGATTTTTTCAATATGAAATTATTTTGACAGGATATTTCCTTCCATGAGTTTCAAATTATTTTTGTATTTGTATCCCTGGGCGGTTTTATCTTTTGCTTCTCACAGTATAATATCATTTTCAAAATCGATTTTTCTAACATAAAATTATGGTGAAAGGATTTTTCCTTTTATGACTTTCGATTCAGTTTTGAATTTTATCCCCATTTGACAGGCTTTTTTCTTCTAGGAGTTTCGATTACTTTTTATAGGTATGTCTCCATGTGACCCCCTTCAATTATTTCACTATTTGAGCCCTTCTAACTGCTGGTCTCATCTACTACGTCTGATAACAAAACATGTTTTCAGTGATAGATAATTTCTTACAAATGTACTCATCCCCTATTTATACTTTTTTTTATTCTGCTTTTTTAGTAGGCACATTCGAAAGACTTGCCCGAGGTGTTCGTTCAGCGATAATAATAGAGCTTCTAATCATTTTTCACCTTTTTAATGTTTATTTCTCCGTAATAATTTTTCGGTACGTCTATGTGCGTCTTTTAGCTGCCAAGTTCACACTGGTATAAATGATATGGTTCCTTGTATTTTGGAGCCTGTAACCAAATTCTTAGATTGGTGCCTGAATTTTGCCCCCAATTTTTCACAGTGATATAAAACACGTTTTTAATTTTCATCTTATTTATCATTGTTTTTCTCGCATACACAACAAACAGTACCTAGTTAGGTTTTCTATTAAATCAACATTTCAGATTTCAAACGGAGCTGAGATCTGATACGTACTTTGTATAGACAACCAACATCACAATAGTGGGAACGGCAAAGTGTAGTGCAGCGCATGTCGTCTACTGTATATCGGAATAATCCAATAAACAAAAACAAGGTTTCTGTTACTCATAACGAAATTAGTCAGCAGTTCAATTTAGATATTTATAGTTTGAAAGCGTGACATCATCCCATGTTTGTTTTGCTTTGTCTCACACACAAATACATATCCACGATCGCTTGAATTCATGAACTAACTCGTTCATTGAATTTACTGCCTGTTTTTAAGCTTATAAATACATTTCATAGGTTATGTTCGGAACATAAAACATACTTTTAGATTAGACGGTTCTTTTTAGTTGAAGATGAGTATGGAAAAGAAAATCGACGAGAGTGGAACAATGGAACGAAAATCGTCCGCAGAGACCAGCATTATCAGCATCATTTTGAGTACTTTGAAAAAAGTAAGTAACTTCAGAATATGCTTGAGATATGTAGGGGTTTACATTACATTCAATAAAACTTCGATTAAACACGATGTACCGAAGAACACTAGACACCTCCTGTGTTAAATTTGAATCTAGGGGAGAGTGGGACATGTTTTACATGTATTACTTTTACCCTGATTACCATATAAAAGTAATCACAAGTAAATTCACTCCCGGTCGGCGTCTTTGTTGTATCGGGTCAAGATTTAATTTTTTGCTGGCGTGTGGCGAAGCAGGTGGGTGTCGGCTAAGAGCTATTGTGCACCTCTGCACGAGGTTTGATCAAAAAATATGTGACCATGATCTGACTTCATCTTTGCTATGAGGAGCAATAAATGTCTCATATGATTGTGAACTGTTTAGGAATTGATAAAAAATAAGTCAAGGTGGTGAAATAATAGTTATTTATTATACAAGGAAAAAAATTATTAGATTTTAGCTCGAGGTTGTGTTGTCTCCCGACGCGAAACGGAGGGAGACAAAAAACCGAGAGCTAAAATCTATAAGACATTTCGAAATTCAACAAACATTTACATGTTGAAATTATAAAGTGGCTGTCGTATGTAGGTGCTTTCAAAATGTGTTCCTTTTCAGGTAGATTCATTCATTAAAAAGTAGGCATACGAGTAGGTAATATGTTGGAGTATGAAATGATTGTAATTTAGAAGTAACTTTTAGTTTACGCTTGAGGAAGCTACTGTATAGCGAAACACGTGTCGCGGTTTTTGTAAAACCCTTTATAGTGAAAATCATTCAATAAACTGTATTTAGTTCCAATATGGATTTTCATCAAGTATCGGCTAGTTCTACTCTATTGTGTCTATTTTATATAACACCTTACAGACAGATCTCTAAACCCTTCTTGAAAGAATATGACTCAATACGCTTGTCGAGTATTTCTCAATGATTGAATAATTTTTGAGGCCATCGTGGTTGTATTTTCATGTTATCTATTCAAGCGAATTTTCAATATCTAGCATTTTCCTATATCTGGTGTTATTCTAATTGCTTATAAGTTTAGTAACAGATAACGTACAGACTCATTTTTTTTTGATAATTTATTATATTGGAAGTTCCCACAATTCAATGTTAATGATGAGAAGTAGAAAGACAAAAACCTTTTTTCTCAAAAACTGATCTTTCCTTAAAATATTCACTTTTAAATTTCATTTTTATATAAGTAAATTGTGAACCATCGATAGGGTTTGAATGACAGTACTAAAAAATTTTTGTTGTGATTGCGGAACATTTTCAGATATGTTTCTAATGGAATTCAAAATGATTTGATTATCGTCCAGCCTGCGACATTTCTACATGGTCTTCATTAGTTTTCAGTATAGATATATCTAAGACCTTGATATACTATTCAATTAATGTTATAGTGCAGTAACAATTGTCAAAAACCTGAAATTCCGAAATTTTTCTGATTGATTCAGCCGTTACTTGATGCAGATCTTATATATATTTCATAAACTACACCTTACAATTCGATCTTCACATACTTTATTTTCACAGGCAGCTTTTTTGTAGTGAATGACATGCTGAAGGTTGATTCTGTTATATACTCTAATTTTTATATACTTCACATAATCATAAGTGAGAGAAACCTACTTCTTCGATCAGAAATAACTAGATCATCTACTCAACTTTTATATACCTTTTATATATTATATCAAATTTATATCAATAATACAATGTCGGTTTCTAAGAAAACAAGTTCTGTAATGGTGATCTGTTTAAATCCAATTGGTCATTCAGTAAAATGTTTGAATTTTTAAGTTTATCAATTTCCATTGCTTCCAAATGATTTAGCTTCAAACCTTCATTTTGTATGTGTCAAATTTCAAAATATCCGTTGAAGATATGATTTTAAAGATGATTTGAATATGTTGAACTTGTTTTCTCATTTACATAGCTCATATGATGTTCTTGGATGCGATTCCCTAATGTTCTTCCAGTTTGACCAATATATACCGTAGGACAACTTTCACAATTCAATTTATATATGTTGGGAAAGTTTGTTAAAAATAATAAAAACAAAATATCCAAATTCGAGAAATCAGGAACATATAAATTGTGGAACTTGCCCTAAGGTATATATTAGTCAAACTGGCAGACCATTTAGGAATTGCATCCAATAATAATAATAATAATAATATTAATATATTTCAGAGAATGCTCTACATTTCATAAAGAAAACATCAAACATAAAGTGTAACAAAGTTACACAATTTCTACATAAAGGTTTATAACTTATCTAGATATTCCTGAAGTGAATAAGGTTCTAACTTGATCAAAAGCTCTTTGACACCTGTTTTGAATTTTTTCAGGCTCTCTAACATTTCAAGTATCTGGTAATTTATTGAAAAACCTTATAGACGCATAGGATGGATGCCTCTTTGACACTGTCAATTTGTGAATTGGAAAAGATATATTCATATTGCGCTTAGGATAATTAGGTCTTGGTCTAGCTTCCAAAAATCTACTTTTATTTTTAAATAGGTATACTACACTCTCATAGATATAGATTGCATATACTGTCAAGATATTATTTGCCTTGAAGATTCCCCGGCATGACTGACGAAAGTTCAGCTTGAAAATAACTCTCATAACTCTTTTTGGAATATATCAGAGGTATTACTGCTGCTTCCCCAGAATTTATACCAAATTTAAGTAAAGATTCAAAATTCGCAGTATATATAATTTTTAGTGATTTTGCATTGAGGTAGGAGCCAATAACTCTGATACTGTAACATATTTGATTCAATTTTTTTTCCAAATTTCTAATATGCTTATACCAATGCAAGTGTTTGTTAACATATATACCAAGAAATTTTGTTGAGTTCTGAACTGCAAGTTCATTGTTTGACAGATTAATTGTTTTTGGTATTTCAATTATGTGCTGTGCCGTTCTAAATAAAATAACATTCGTTTTCTCATCATTCAGAATCAAATTGTTCTTTGAGGACCAGTGGTTTGCTCTGTCACAGAGGTTACTCGACTCTAATTAAGTTTAGATAGTTGTGACTTGACACTAACCGATTTGTATCATCAGCATAATTGGTGATTTGAGAAGTTTGACTGTCATTATTTAGGATTTCTAAAATATTGTTCATGAAAATAATAAAAAGCATGGGACCGGTTACACTTCCCTGTGGGATGTCCACGGTATTTTCTCGTGCCTCTGATTTGTTTTATAATTTTAGTTTTTTGCAGAGGGTTTGACAAATATAATTCAAACCACTTCCAGATATTTCCTCTAATTTCATATCTATCTAGTTTTGCCGATAAATATTTATGATTTAAGCAATCATAGGCTTTTGATAGGTCCAAGAAAATACCTAGGACTGTTTCATTATTTTCAAATGACTGAATAATTTTCTCAGTGAACTGAATTATTGCTGTTCCTACTAATATTTCTTTTATATATCCATGTTGAGAATAACTTAATTATCACACATGGCCATCTCAAAAAATTTTGAGAAAGATGATAAAACGCATATCGGTCGAAAATTCTCAATTAACTCACAATCTCCTTTCTTATAGATGGGTGTTATCAAAGCAACTTCCAATTGTTCGGGAAATATTCTATGTTAAAATAATTATTAATTGTATGGCAAATAATACTAGCAACATTATCAATACATAATTTCACCAAACTAACTGATATTTCGTCATCACCACAAGTATGTTTGTTTTCAATTTTCTGTGCCAAATTCTTTATTTCATCTTCGGTTACAGGTTCAAGAAACATTTATTGTGAAGTTACAAGTGAATTCAGTTTTATTTAGTTTCTCAAGTAGTTCAGGTATAATGTTCAATAAAAATTAATTATATCGATTGGCTGTGTTTATTGGATTCCCTTCAAATAGTGGGTTTGTAGCTTTATATTTGCCTAGTATATCTTTATGAATACTCCACATACATTTCATTTTATTATCAGATGTGATTTTTTCTTGGTAGAAATCTTCTCTTTTCTTTTTCAGCAATTAATTCTACTCTTTTTTTTTTTGTTGCACTGTGAGCTCCTCTCAAATCCGTGTAGAATCTTGATATAGTAAGCAAATTATGTAGCCTATTTTTGCATTCTTCAATTTCCCGATCTCTGACGAAATTTTTTTTTCTTTCCTGAATAAACCTCTTAGGGAAACTTTCATGGAATATTCTCAGGAATGTGTTTATGAAATGGTTCCATTGTTTATTTACTTCATTTTCGTTAATGTTATATATATCCAACCAGTTTTGTTCTTTTAAGCTTTCGATAAATGTGTTTTTATTTTTCTTAGAGAATATTTTCATGAATTTTTTGTTTTCACCTGGAAATTCATTCACTAGAAAACTAATTTTTTGTGCAGTGTGATCAGATATTGAAGTCTGCAAAATGTGTGTGGTATAGTCATCTTTTAGATTAGTAAAAATATTATCAATACATTTTTTTGGAGTTGTAATTTGGGTATACTCATTGATGGTGACAATAAATGAGTAGGAGTTAAGTAGAAGGTTCCAAGAACATCATATGATCTATGTGAATGAAAAAATAAGGTTAACACATTTGAATAATCTTTCAGAAGAAAATCATATCATTCACGGAGATTTTGAAATTTTACACACAGAAAATAAAGGTTTGAAGCTAAATTATTTGGAAACAATGGAAATTAATAAACTTAAGAATTCAAACATATCACTGAATGATCAATTGGATTTAAATAGATCACCATTACTGAACTTGGTTTCTTAGAAACCGACATTGTTTTGATCGAAGAAGTACCTAAGTAGGTATCTTTCACTCATGATTACATGGTTTAGAGTATATAACAGAATTAACTTTTAGTATGTTATTCACTATGAAAAAGCTACGGTGATAGGGAAACTTGTGATATATTTTCTGAAAATAAAGTTTGAAGATCAAATCGTAAGGTGTAATTTATGAAATTTTCAGATGTTTGAACTGTTGTGTAATGTAGGCAGTGTTGCCAATGACTTGGTAAGTACCAGGATCGTGAGTAATTAGAGGTTCTTTCTGGTAATTTTGTAACAAAGTATAATTGTATTTACCGGGTATTGGATGTCACGGTGGGGCGAGAGTAATGACGGAAATTGTGATTGCTAACAATTAAATATAAAACCCAGTCATAATGATCTTCTGAAAACGCTAACTTTGTTAGCGAAACGCGCGTCGAGAGACCGTAATTTTTGTTCTGGTGTTGGGAAAGTGTTTTCAATACATTCATTTCCCGCCAGAGGTTCCAGTACGAACTGTCAAGCCTAAAACCCGGTCACTACTTAACCCTTATCAAATCTGATCATTCGCTATAATGTGATATTTTGAATTGGAGTCAAAAGCATATCGCTTACTCGCACAATTTATATCAAATTATTTTGGCAGTAGGTAGAGCATATTCATTGTATTTTTATATATTCTCATCACTACATAGTTTGAAGGATATAAATATATTCATTTGCTGCTGCATGTATCAATAGCCAAGTTTAGCTATTCACTCCTTTTTGTCTTTTGAAATTTAAATTAACAATTTTCCTAAATTGAGCTTTAAATAGTAAAAGCATAGATATGAAATTGACTTTGAAGCAACACATTTCTTGTTTTCAACATACCTACACTTTTATCTGAGATTGCCAATTTTTTGAAAATGTTGGATCCTTTCAAAAAGCGGGTAATTTTAGACTCACTTGTGGATAATTTGACGATTCATCATTGGCAGCACTAAATTTATGTTTTTGCCATGTCTGAAATATTTGTTTTGAATCGAAATTACGAGTACGAGGGGGAAAAACACATCTGATTGATTTTGACCAATAAAATCCAAAATATTTCAGCCAGTTCGTGAGTTGAGATGTCTTCATAATAAACCAAAGTAAATATTACGAGATTAGTTTTAGTCTTAGTCTTACTGCTGTTCATATTAGGTCTAAAGAGATGAAGATTAATTTCAATATCCAAATGTTTTCTCACCAGATTCAATTTTAAAAATACATATTATTTATATCATTTTCATATTTGTGTATTTTTTCAGGCTTCTGTAGTGGGAGTAGTTTATCTAGCTGGATATATGCAATGGTCGGTAGCGTGGTTCATCGGCCCCGTTGTCTTGTTCGTCTTGAGAGACCAATGGAAGAATACAAGTGATAAAAGAAGAACTCTAGCTAAATTAACCGCTGTTTCCAGTGAAAAAGAAGTTGTGCTGGCTAGACTGAACGATTTACCAGCTTGGGTGAGTGTTGTGTATATTTTTGTCTTTGTATTTTTTTCAATGACATTTATTGTGAACATGATATATTGGCAATCTATATACACTGAAGAAAACTCATCAGTTGTTTTATCAAATCATTTTGAGTTAATGAACTAGAAAACTCCAACAGAAACATTTTTTTCACATACCAAAACCCTTAACACTCTTCTTTACTCACTTTACTGCATAGTTCATATGATGATGCCAACAGCAAAGACTGCAATTGAATTATGTGTGTTTGAATGATAACATAATCGTTTATGTAGATAATAAATAACAAGGGACCCGCAATGCTGCCTTGGGGTATTCCTACTTTCACTGCCGCATTCTCAGATTTGTATGTTCGACCATGTTTGTTAATAGTTACTATTTGTTGGCGATCTGTTAGGTAAGATTCAGTCTACTTCAGTTTCTCTTATATCATATAGTTCTAGTTTTTTTATAAGCAGTGATTCAAGCAGTCAAATGCCTTTGACAGATCCAAGAACATACCCCAAGTGCTAATTATTTTTTTTCCAAGTTTTTTATTATTTGAGTAAATTGAAATATTGCACTCACTCTCTCGTAAGTATCCGTGTTGGTTATTGATAATTATATTACATTTATATAGAAAATTTGTAATGTTATTACACATTATAGGTCGATGGTTTTCCATAAGTTCAGAATCCCCCTTTTTATAAACAGGTTTCACTAGGGATAGTTTCAGTATTGAAGGGAAGACGCCAAATTTCATGGAGTTATTTATGATATATGATATAATTTCACTTATGCTTAGTATACTTCTTTTCATCAAAGAAGTATACATCACTAGAGTAATTATTTTTAACTTTATGTGATAGTTCTATCACCTCTTGAGGAGATATTGGCTTTGCCAACATTGACTCAAAATTATATTTTATTGAACATTCGAAATGAATATTTGGGAGAAATGTAAAAGTTCAAATTGTGATTTCCAATGCTCTGTAGCGCATATAAAACCACAATTCGGATTATCTCTTAGAAAACATTCAATTTTTTCAACACTGTTTCCCAATGATTGCATATTTTGATGACTTATCCTAGAGAAATTTTTTTTTTATCTACTATTATAATTCTTTAATGCCTGCTAATTTATTTTCAAGTAAAATTTTATATTTTTCATCCTTTTCGGATAATATTTTCATGAGCAACTCATTTTCTTTTTTCAACCATTCTATGTACTTATCTTTGTTACTCTCATGGGTATCAGTAAGCTTTTCATCTACTACTATTTAGCCATTTATCTTTGATTTGTCTGACATATCACCTTCACAACATAAGATTCTTGTTTCATCTATTATTTTTCTATTTTTTTTTTCTCTCTAGACAACTTCTATGGTATGCTTTTCCGCATTTAACACACACCGTTGTCGACACTTGTCCTGTTTTACACCATTCGAACATTTTATCTCCTTTTTTATCTAGGAGCTCTTTACTACCACTTCCACTATCCACCATTTTGGAATTTTTTATGCCTATTGAGTTAGTAGCCAGAATGACCCATAATTCACACGCAACCAATCATTGTTGACCAGATTTTACTCACCACTCCTAAGCCAATCACAGATAAGCAAACTCATTACATTAAAGTTGTGTTTCTCGCAAGTTAGCCTTGAAAATGTCCTTCCTCAAAATAAATTGTCAAGCATCAAACTTATTCTGAAGAAAGATTGGTTGGGTTACAGGATCGATCATTTCTTAGAAAAACATTGGTTTCGAACATTTCTTCTTCACGGCTCTGTAACAAAATTTAAATTATAATCGTATAAGTTTTGTGGGAAGTATGTTTATGAAAATTCATTATTACAGAGCCCTGAGGAAGACTAATTAAATTCGAAACGTTGGCAAGAAAACAATTGTTTTTTAAAGAAAAAATTGATCCCGTTACCCAACCAACCTTTCTCCAGAAAAAAGCATTGGATTACTAAACTAGTTAACTTTATCAAACTTATTCACTGAACTGACATTTCGTTTTCAAACATATATTTTTTAACGAAAAACAGGAATAAAAATATGTATTAAGAAAGTGAAAACAAGTGTATGCGTGTAAGTGTAAATGAGAGTAATTAAATAAATTATTTTCTGTAAATATTGTTTTAAGTAAGTAAAAGGTGAAACTGGACCTCGGCCGCGAAAGCCTTAACCATTCCGTTATACAATTGTTAATTAACCAATGTTTTCCGACCTCCGTTTTTTACAAAAGGCAACATAAAAGTTCAAATAGTAGGATTTAAAAATTGTTGCTTCTTGGAGCCTTTCTTATTTGTATCTTTGAGAATTCGTGTATTGAAAACTCAAAAAAAATATTATTTTGGAAATAAATATGTGATATTGAAAATTTTTTTTCCATAAATGTTATATTATTACCATTTTCGCAACTAACAAGGGCGGTAATTCACTTAAGGTAAAACTCTTATACGTTATTTGTCGATAAATTTTTCATAAACAGACAACAGATATTATTCTCATAATGCCATCCATGTCCAGTTATGCGAAACAAAATTCAAACATTTACGTACCTGTATTTCAGACGTCTTCTATTAAGTCTATTTCACTACAGAAATGACTAAATCATATCCCGAAGAAATCTTCGGGATCTTCGTACCTGTATTTCAGACGTCTTCTACTAAGTCTATTTCACTACATGATTCCCACTGATTACCAATATTCAGGCAACACTTTCGGAAGAGCTATCCAACAAGTATACACCCGGATGAGGCAAATACCGTACTTTGGGAGTCGGCCATATATTATTATGGTGGATGACTTATTGCTGCGTTTTCTGTGGAGGACCCATATATAGCAGGATGTATTCAGTGTGACCCACTTGAAAGTGAGACACCTCCCCTCCTATTTCGAAGAACTTTATTTTCAATTGTAGAATATTTTTATAGGTTGAAATACAAGGAATCGTATCAGCGAATTTTTTAGGAAAAATTTAAAATCACCATTGGACTGGGTACCCTCTCCAAATTTCATAAAAAAATATTCAACATTAATAATTCTGTGGTCGAATCAACATTCACATTGCATCATGATAGAATGTTAACTGCACACCTCTTAAATTGTTTTTAAATCTTGGTTAACAATATAAGTTTGAAAATGTCCGTATAGGACGAAACTGCAGTAACGTTAGTTACAAATAAAAGTGGTAAAAAACATATAAATTTTTATTTATCTTTTCATTATGATTTCATACCACGTAGTAACGGCTACATCCATCAATTTATTGAATCTTGGTTAGTTGGCCGTGTAACACCGTGCGGATATGCAAAATAGCTCTTTTCATTTGGCACTGGATTATTATTGCTGCTGTAAAAAACTATATCAAAACAGTAACGTCAGATTATGCCCGATTAGTAAGAAAAATATTTTGTAAAGCGGTAGGAATTAGTGATTTATCATAGGAAAACTAAGTATGCGAGATAAAATTGAACTTGCGCCTTGTTGGAGATAATGCTCTTTCGGTAAGAGAAGCTGCCAGAAAATTTCCTCACACACAGCCTAATAAACTTTCAGTGAGCAACAATGCGGTGAACCGTATAAATTCTGTTTTTAACGAAAGAGGTTGTGTATGGAGGCATATGCTTAGAAACAAACCACAACGTGAGAATAGAAATGGTGTGCGAATATTGCAATATTTCTGTAATAATCCTCATTGAAGTTTGCGAACGGGTTTGAACTTAAATATCAGGAGATGCCTTGTAAACAATAAAATGAAACCATTCAAGCCATAAATTGTACACACTCTGGAATCGGGAGCTGATAAAAGAAGGTTATAATTCTGTTTGTGGACTCGAGGAGAATATTTGATTGATTGTATAAACTTCTTCAAAACAATTTTGTTTAGAGATGAAGCTACGTTCACTACAAATGGAATAGTCTCGTCCCAGAATTCAAGGTTCTAGTCTGCGGATAATTCTAATTGGGTTATGAAAGTAAAAAGGCAATATTCCCATAAAATAAATGTGTGGTGTGGAATAATCCATGATAAGGTTATCGGTCCGTTTTTCTTCGAAAGTAACCTGAATGGAATTATATTTTTAGACTTTTTGAGAAATGAGTTTTGGGACGCAATACATAACTTACCAGTGCAGGATCTCCTGAATTCGAAGTTTCAATTAGATGGGTCTTCTGTACATAATGCAGTTATTGTAAGAGAAGATATCATCGGACAATTCCTGTTATAGTCTAATAATGCCTAACAAAAATCAGTAGTGATTGGGTATCTGTGAGAATTATAGTTGAGATTTTTTGAGTTCTGAAGTACTCATCATTGCCAGAATATGTATCAGATTATCACAAATGCTTGTGATATGGTATTTAGTCAGGTAGATGCCTCTTTCGAAGTTAGCAGCCTCAGGTTATGTCTCTGCACAAAGTTTGCAACATTAGACCTTCTAATGAAAAGTTTCCACCCCAAATGTTTCCAAAATGGATGGAAATATCAATAATCGTCTAGATCCGTAACTGTAGATTTTCAGGAAAACACATGTTTACGCCCACGCGACATTTGTAGCAACATGCCCCTCACGCCACCACCAGTTCCATCTTAAAATTTATTATGAAGGTTATCATATGAAATATGATGAGACGTTTTTGCTGCTTTTTTGCGATTAACATGGCTACCCACTGGTGTGTCTTTGCCAAGGCTTGTGGAAAATAATTAGTCTATCAACAAGTTCAAAAACATGAAAAATAGAGACAAAGGTCCTAAAAATATAAGGATAGCTCATTCGATTCGGAATCACCTCTGGAAAAATGTTTTTGAAGGATTTTGGTGCAGGTAAAAAATTGCAATTGTTATTAACAAAATAAGATTTAAAAAAATGGTATTTAGTATTTCGTTAATAACTCAAAAAATATTAATATTTAAGCAATTTTGAAAAAAGCTCGTTAANAACAACGCAGTGTTGCCATCACAATCCAATATTACATTCAATAAATCATTGTTAGTCAACACC